CATCCACCTTCACAGCACCAATGTCGAGATGACTGGTATCCAAGATAATCTCCTGGGATTCACCATCTGTGATCGACTTGAATTTATGGACCACATTCCCTACCAGCTTCTTCTGGTCGAACAAAATATCGAAATTGGCCGTGACATGGGTAGAACGCCAATTGTTGTAATTGCTCACGGTGTTCGGATCTCGTGGATGATTGATAGTAGCCATAGTGCGTGAAGTGAATCTCACTTTAGAAACACGTAGGTTAAAATTCAAGTTCCGAGTAAAGGAACGACCTAAGGTGAGATTCATGAGGTTGGAATTTTTCCCCCTCCTACCTCCCCCTCGGGGCCATCTCCCCATATCTCTCTCTCTCCCATTTTTTCCCCCCGTATCTAAGCGCCAACTTATATAGTCTCTTATCATTCTTTTATATTTTCTATTTCAAGTTTTTTTTTAACATAAATTGTATATTATATATTATATATATATTATACTATGTATAAATCTCTTAAATCTACTCCGTACATCAGTACCTTATCCCTGTATTATAGGCCTACGCTAGGGAGAGGTTTCCCCTTTTTTTTTCTCTCTCTCTTCTCCCTTTAAAATTTAGAAGAATCAAGAAATCAAGAAATCAAGAATCCTCTCTGTAGTTCAACTGCTTCTAATCTCTCATCCCCCGCATTGTTTTTTTTTTCTTCCACCGCCCGGCAACCCGGGAACCCCCCCCCCCTGAAGAGAAGAGCGCTCCCCCTGACGAACCCGAACCTGATCTTCACTATTATTCTGCAAATTCAAAAGGGTTGTTTTTTTTTTGTGTTTTTTTTTTTTGTGTGCAATTTGTGGTGGTTCACGCAAATCCCCTTGTGAGTTTGGCCGATCTTCATCCCGCAATTCGCATTCCTAATCGTTCTAGGTCAATTGACACAATGTCTCCCAGCCTACTGTTTTGAAACCCTCGAGCCCTCCCGATTACGAAGCTATGTGTTGAGACGGATAGGGGGTTTTAAAACCAAGGATAATCCACGAGACATACGTCAATACTCCAGACTTGCGAAGAATGAGCGAAGACACACACCTAGTTGCAGATACCCGTTTCTCTCCCCTATTGTGCTTGCCTAGTTGCGCGTAGTACCTCTAGGGTACACAATTTCGGACTCGATACATTACCTATTTCCGACATTTAAATTCGCTAAACTTGGGGAATTTACGAAATGATTCACTATACATCGGTGGATGATGATCCCAATTCATCCTATCTCAGACGTCCTTCGGGCCCCTTTGCGTCTGAACCGCCGTCCGGGCCACCCCCCAATCGACCTTCCTCTCGCTCGTCACGACCTAATTCTCGGGCTCGAATGGTAAAACCGCCAGGTGCGATCACGCCCACTGGCCTCGGTGTGCTTACAGAGAATGTGGCAAACCTGTCCCCGGACAGTCTCGGACCAACCAGCCCTATCAAGGAAGGGCTGGGCAGTTTAAATCGCTGGTCCCAGTCGACGGCCTCTAGCAAAAGTCCCTCAGAGTATATTGGTCATCATCGTCGAGGGAGCTCGAAAATGTCAATGTCAGGTTACAACCGTGGACGGGGGAGCCACAGCCCCCAACGTGCGCCGGGGCTGAATGGGTTGCCGATGCTCGATCTGCCGGAATTGGACAAGTCTGCCATATTTAACAATGATTCAACACAACACCACGAGCTCTCATTTGCGGCCTCGAGCCATCTTTTTCAGCCCTCAACGCATAGCCACCAAACAGATATTCCAGTTACTCGGACGAGTGGAGGGTCTGTCTCTTTAAATGACGGGGAAGGAGACCCGGCTGCCATACAGCATGGACAGACACAAAAGGTGATGCTGTCAAAGGCACTTCAGAAAGCAAATACGGCAGTGCTTCTGGATAACGCTGCCAATTTCGAGGGTGCCATGGAAGCTTACACCGATGCTTGTAACTTGCTACAGCTTGTCATGCTCCGTAGCAATGGGGGAGACGAAGAGAAACTCAAACTTCAAGAAATTCGAGACACATATATGCTTCGGGTCACGGAACTTCATCGTATGGACTTTCCTCTCCAGGAGAGCGACGACAAAGCTCTTCCAGATCGGCCTTTGAGCCAAGAGTCATATGGAGAATTGCTTCATTCCACAAATGACGGATCCCATATTGAGAGCCAGCAGAGCTCGCCTCATTCCAGCTTTGGGTTCCACCAGATCCCACTAGAAGAAGCAAAGGGCTTTTCTCTGGAAGCTGTTCCCCCTCGGCGGCAATCCTTGAAGCCCTCTGCCTTGGAAGATCAACCCCGACCTATGACATTGCCGACAGCAAGTCAGGAGGACACCAATGAATCCACTTCGTGGTTGGACACAATTGATGAATCGGGTGCTTCGTCACCCTCATCGGCAAACTCCAAGGCGTCATCAGTGTACCTTCGTCGTCGAACCAGTCGTCGCCTCAGTAATGATACCGAGGCTGAGTTTGATGCAGCTCTCGATGCGGCGGTGGAAGCTGCATATGATGAAGGTCTAGAGCCGGTGCCGGAGCACAGAGAAGAGGAAAGCGATGCTATTGTTTCAAACGCGCGCAGGAACATACAACTAGCGAAACAAAGAGTGCGCGAGGCAGAACAGGAAGCAGAGGCAATGAATCGCGATCGTGAAATGCGCCGGATCCAGGAACAGACAACTTTCGGGGATGACCCCATTATTGCCCGTACTTCGGAATATCTAGACGATGAAGCAGAGGAAGAGGAGCGTTTGCTGGAAGAGATGACCAAGGGTTACGTGATGGACGATTTCGAGTTCGGCATTCAGTCCAAGTCGGCGCTCCCTCGCGAATCAGATTCCAGCAACATGTCCGGGAGGACTTGGGAAAGCTCCGCAACTTCCAATATTGCAAGCACTGGGGGTGCGCTGTCTACGCTTGCAGAAGATGATGTGTTGCCACTAGACCTAAGGCTTGAACCATATACCATGCCATCTTCTCCTCCATCCTCGGCTTTGCCGCCCCTGCCAGCGTCATCCGACTTCCCGGCTCCTTCAAAACGGGCCTCGATATCAAACCGCGCTGGTTCTATCGGCTCACTCGCCTCTTCTACAGGTCCAGGAGTGCGAGCCCGAAGACTATCCAGTCAGACTCGCGAGCTTAAAATCGAGACCAATACCCGCTCCGCTCGCGCTAATTCTAATGCATCAACGGCCTTGGAAAACTTTGCAACCCCACTGGCAAACCGCCCGCCACCATTGCCGAAAGACGAACCTTCTGCCCATGGGGCCCGCTCCACTTTGCACCCGACACAACGTAACCCGTCGGTGGGCTCTTTCACGGACCACACCAGCCTCTCGAAAGCTCGTACCCATGAAGACGATGAGAATGAACTGCCACCACTGCCACTGTCAGCGCGGCCCATGGGCAAAGTACCCTCGGCTCCAGATGGATTGAACAAAATGCACTCCCATACAAAGCCTTTCCGAGCTCGGAACGCCTCCGTTCCGATTCAGATCCCTGATATGTGCCCGGAATCCCCAAGCACCCCGTGGAGCGGTGCATTTCCTGACACTCAAAGGGGCGCGACTAGTGGCGTTCCTGTTTTACCTACACCAACCCTGGCCAACTTTAACTTCCAAAATGGACTGCCAAGTGGTGGATTAAACCTATTTAGTAGCAACATACACTCACCCACAGCTCTTGGACGTCCAAATTCCTTGGTGGCCAATGCCCCGCTTCCTCTAGAGCCATGTCCAGAGTCTTTCCTTCTCCGTCCATTTTGGCTAATGAGATGTCTCTACCAGACACTCGCACATCCTCACGGTGGCTATCTATCAGAAAAGCTCTTTATTCCTCGAGATGTCTGGCGTGTGAAAAATGTTAAGCTAAAGGCCCTCGAAGAGAAAGTGTCCAATTGCGATCTTCTGACCGCCGCTTTGCTCAAATTGGCCCAGGTCGATACATATGATGCAGATGCGGTTTTGGAAGAGATGCAATCGTTCGATACTGTACTCGACCAAGTTCAGGTTCTCTTGGCTAAGAAATTGGGTAATGATGTCGGTGTCCAAGCATCAATGCCATTGTTCAAGACCGCTTCCACGCTGGACGAACCTGTTCAACCGGAAGTTGCGCCGAACAAGTCATACCTGACATGGAAAAGACTACGCGCAAAGACTTCCGGGCTTGGGACCACCACTCCGGTGCCGAGTGCTCGAGAAAGTAACAAGGACAATCTAATTCTCAACTCCGTCCCGATGACATCTGTACACGGAACACCTGCGAAGCGCAATGTAACCCAGCTAGAATTTTCTGGGCCCAACGCGAACTACATGGGGGCGTTGGCGCGGCTTTTCGACGCTGCACAAGTGCTAGGTAAGACTTTTCTCGTCTATATGATTTTGTCACCATTCTAATTTCACCAGAACAAATTGCTCAGCAGGTTGAGGATCCTGGACTCAAACATTCGTCTAAAACCCACGTTGGTCTGGAACTCAGCACACGACACGCTGCTGAATTCTTTGGCTTTTACATTTGTCGGTTCGCACTGGCTGATGTGGGCTTGATGCTTGACAAGTTCATCAAGCGAGGTAGCGAGTGGGTGTTGGTCTAGGAAGTATATGAGGCCATACGATAATTACCCTTCCCTCTTCCCCTTTCTCCCTTCCCCCTCCTCCAACCTTCTCAAAGCCAGTGGAGGCCTAGAGTCTTCCTGCGTCTTTTGATATCTCTAATGTCCATATTTGATCTCCCCACGTCTTTTGAGATACCATGATTTTAACCCGTGAGATATTTGATGATTTAAGAACATAATTGTCATGACATGGGATTGTACTTAACGCTATTTGTTTCTTGCTCATATAACCTGTTTATTTTGGTGATCTTGCCTCAGTGCAAGCCCTAACGACACGCTCTAATGCATATCACACACCTTCAACCTGCTTTTAGTACTTGTTCTTATTCCTATATGCAAATATCTTTATCAACAATGGGTTGGGGCCTAACGCAGATTCCCTCAGAATCGTGCAGTTCAAAGGCACATATTGGCCGATCGAAGACAAATCTGTCGTCGTCTCTCTGCATCTCGGATAATCTCGGCTGACAATTTCAGGCTAGGTGCTAAGTGTGCATACCTCTCTACCTCGTTGACAACTCCCGCAATGATCCCATCTATCTGTGGAACGGGAGGGAGCAGGATGGATAGGGTAGGAGACATTGTGGCGCCCATTATCAGCAATGTCTGTGATACCATTGACAGGGCACCCTGCCACAGGTATGGAAGATGGCCTTCGCGGTGGCTCGTTACATGCTCCAACTGACGGAGTGTAGCATCCAAGCATCGTCGGCAACACTCTTTCACCCCTGGGTCCGCTCCAGCCTGTTCATTTTCAAAAACAGCCAAGATGTATGGACGATATATAATGGTACGGCATGCATTGTAGCGAAGCCTCAGCACCGTTTGAACCGGATTGGCAATAGGCTTTTGAGTCAAAGGAAATTGAACGGACCGCGGAAGACTGTCGTACCACTGAGATAGCTGAAAGTCGAGCTCAGAGACAATCGGACCCAACGATGCGAGAGTGTGGGTGCTGTCTTTCTGATAAATGATATGGCTGACACGATTGAGTAGTCTTCGTAGAGCAATCTCCGCCAGGAAGTACCAGAGTTCGTCACGCCGAACAGCCAGCTGAGAGTCAGCCGGCCGCGATGAGCCCTGATATTTCCTGGCTGTTCGGCGTTCTTCGCCCTCATTATGATCCCCATCTTCCTCCTCCCCGTCATCCTCATCTTCTTCCTCAAAGCCTCCTGGCAAATCCACAATTTCTTCAAAGTTGACAATGCCAGAATGGGGGAGATCTAATTCTGCGAGAAGATCGCTTTCAAACAATAAGGCGTTCCAGTATACCCTCACACTCAGCTCCCTCCACTGAGTCGGAATTCGATTTGGACTGCCAAACAACAACTGCAATTTCATGCTCACGCTGGATAGCAAGGTCCAGGCTTCCAGGGGTCGCACTAGATAGAATAGGTAGGCAGAGGCCATGACCATGCACTGCGCCGCGACCACAGTATTTCTCATCATGACCGACGGTAGGAAGCTCCATGCAGCGGCAAAATAAGGAAGTCCTGGCGGTTCACGATCTGGTGACACAAACGAGATACTACCACTATGGCTGGCGCTTCCTAGGGCCAAGACCAGAAGAACAAGGCAACTCATGGGCCCTTCTTGAAATCCTTGCGCAAGAGCTGATTGATAATATCGATTCCATGTATAGGGGTTCACACAGGCATACCAAACATTTCCATAGTTGAAAAACGCCTGGGCATACGTGGATGCATTTGTCAAATCAAATCCTGAATTCGGAGTCAGCCGCAATGGTTCGCGGGCCATCTCCAATTGAAGAAGGTGCTGCGGATCATAGACCCCAGAGACCAAATCCCGAATTAGGGGCCACTGGAGGAGATGAAGAGCAGGAGTAGTATGCATTTTGGGCATTGTAGAGATGCTTAGACTGGCAGGTGGGTTAACCCAAGAACCGAGTCCAACAGCAGACAATCTTCCATGCACTGGCAATCCGCTGGATGATGTTTTCGTTAATGGATCATCGCTACCGAGGTTTGTATCGTTGCTGGTGGCCGGGGAGGTAGCGGAGAGGGCTAAATGTGACCCTTGGTTTGGTAAATTTGAATGTAGCAAACTTTCAATTCTGGCCAAATGATCTAGAATGAGCTTGTCACCGGCGTCTAGTTTGATACCGGGTTCTCGATAGACACATTCCGCATTCAAATCGGAGCAGAGTTGACACTTGGGACGAGCCCCATTGCATCGGGTCTTGCGTAGCCGGCATATCTGGCACTGAATCAAAGTCAAATCTGCCTTGCTCGAATGTGCCAGAGGCGCTTACAGCTATTGTTGCCCGTCTTCTGGGGTATTCAGCAGCCTCTGTATTCGAGCGCTTTTTCTTGCCGATGGATGTGTCGCTAACTGCATAGTCCCCCATGGGGTCTATCATCTCTTTTTCTGGGGGAAAAGTCATAATTCAAAGCTGAGATTGTGCGGAGTTGTATCTAACGTTGCTTTCCACTCCAAACCGAGGGGGTGGTCGGCATGACGGGCATCAGACCATACTTGAAGAATAGAGACAAAAGGGATATCCAAGGAATGATTCGGAGAATCCGGGGGCACGGGCATTAATGTATAATGTAAGATCGGCTTCTAATCGAAATCCGCTTGAGTGTGTTGCCCTTGTGCTTGTATAATAATAGTTGGCCGCCTAACTCGATACGGGAGTGAGTCCGTGGCGGGTTGAGCATATAACCGACTATGATGTTGGATGTGAAAATGTGAGACCAAGAATAGCACAATGAATGCACAAGCTAGTAGATATAAATATATTTCGATTGCACTATATGTACGAAATATATGAGGTGTAAAATGTCAGTTGTAGATTGTAGCTATCGAGCATGTCACATGTGGTCCACGTGCACGCGTCCCAAACAAACGCGTCGATCTTCTTTCACATTTGTAGCTGCGCAACTATTCTGGCTTAGCATATTCTGTTGATTCGAAATCAATTTGTTCAATCATGCCTCGTCCTGCCCCCAAACGAAGTCGTACAGTGGGAAAAAGTCAGCCCAAACCCACGACAGAAGAGTCAACGCAACAAATTGACTGCAATGTCGCCAAATCGCCTTCGCAGCTTGAACCCGGCTCAGCCTTGGATCCTAGACAGGCACTACGCAGTCAAACGCCCTTGACCAAAAGTCATGAACAATTAATTGAATCTTCGCCCATGGGGGACCGGCCGGGCACCGGCAGTCGACCTGGAACTGGGAGTCGACCCCCTACAAGATCGCGCGGTTATTCTTCTACGCTATCATTCGCCGGACGCAAAGGTGACACAGGTTCCCGCATTCCCGGAACGCCTGGATTCGATAATTCCGTTTTGAGCAACTTCAGGCGGCGACCGCGACAGCAAAGCATTCTGCAGATGATGCAAGCCGACGATGGCTCTTCCGACCTTGATGATGATGACTTCCTTGGTGGGCTTAGCCCCAATGATGAATCAACACCACTGAATCTCTCTCGGGGAAAGTCACTACTTATTAAGCCAACCGACAAGTCACCATCCCCGTCACCTTCCAAATCACCGCTATCCGACGGTACGCGCAAGCGCAGGCGCATGACCCAAGAGATTCAAGTACCACAGTCGCCTATTGATATGGTAGAAGATACTCCAACTGCGACACCGAACCAACGCGACGCATCTCGACATGAGATTGAAGACCAACAAGTTGCTGAAGATGATGTTGAATCTGAAGACGAGGATCTTGAAGATCAGGATGTGGAGGTTGAAAGAGTCGAGGCGACATCACAATCCCAACGATTCCCAGAAATACTGAGCCAGACTATGTTACCACCAGCCAGCAGCCCTGCTGGCTCCGCTCCACCTGGTGATTCCACACCGCGACCTGTTCAGAAGAAAAATTCCAATGCCCCCAGTCATCTATCGACAGCAAACCTGCAAGACAAGCTTTTACCACGTCGCCGGCGCAGACTCCGCACGACCAATGACTACTACAGCGACGAAAGTGATCAGCATGATGCCGCATCTAGTGGCGAGGATGAGTTGAACTACCCATCACAAAGATCATCCGGGCGGCGAGCAGGGAAAAACAAACCCAAGCCATTAACCAACACCCGCAATCTAAAGCCGAAGAAGATTAAAGAGAAAAAAAATAATAAGTCGGTACCAAAAGAAGCTACGTATTCACGTCAAGCGAGTGGTGACAAAGAGAACGAAATGCTTTCATCGCCATCATCTTCTCTATTGTCATCACCACCGGAGTCCGATGTCACTGATTCCGAATCTATACAAACAGAGGCCACTCGTTATGTGAGCGATGAGTTGCGTGCGGCAGTCAAAAAGTTTGCGGAAGTGGACCAATGGAAGATGGAATTTGAAGATGTCTCTGCTTCAGAGAGTTAGAGATATTTGAATCCGAAATGCGAATTAATATAATGTTGTATGTTGTATTTATATGTTGTACATGTCCGTGTTTTTATCTGCGGCAATAACCGCTTTACCAAAGCCCCGCAATGTAACCTGCGAAATATTCTCTCTTTTCTTTTCTTTTCCCTCTTTCTTTTCCTCTCTTTTCTCAAATAATTCACTCAACATGACTACTGTGGATACAATCCTTTCCGCCAAGTATCCGGCTAAGGCCCATGCTCGTCGTGTCGCTGAGTCCCTTAAGGCTCGGCATGGCGGGGCCGGAGTTATCTACCTTGAGGCTCAAAAAACTCGATTGATCGAGGATAGCGATGAGGATATGCCATTTAGGTAAGGCCCCATTTCTAGAGGATTTAGATTGATATTAACCCGATATAGGCAGCGTCGTCCTTTCTTCTATCTCACTGGATGTCTTTTGCCCAATGCCGCCGTGGTATACGATGCCATCAAGGATGAATTGACTCTGTTCATTCCACCAATCGACCCTGAGTCAGTCATTTGGTCTGGTCTTCCACTGTCTCCTGAAGAGGCTCTTAAACTCTACGATGTGGACCACGTTTTATTCACAACCGATGTGAATCCAACTTTGGCGTCGATCGCCTCGAACCACAATGGACAAACTGCTGCTTTTGCAATGGCTGAACAGGTGTCAAATGATACGAACTTCCAGGGCTTCGCTGAAACAAACATTGCCAGCCTGAAGACTGCCATCGAGGATACTCGTGTCGTCAAGGATGCGTACGAGATTGCGCTTTTGCGAAAGGCAAACGATATCTCAACCAAGGCACACATCGCTGCTATCCAGGCCGCCAAGACTGCGACTAACGAGCGTGAGATTGAGGCTGCCATTATCGGCACTTGTATTGCCAATGGATGTCGCGAGCAGTCCTACCACCCCATCGTTGCTGGAGGTGAAGGAGGTGCTACTCTTCACTATGTTAGAAACGATGCCGACCTGGTCGACCCCGTCACTAAGCAGCGAAAGAATAATGTCCTCATTGATGCTGGCGGTGAATACCAGACGTACTGCGCCGATATCACGCGTGTTATTCCTCTGAATGGAAAGTTTGCCCCTGAGACCCGTCAAATTTACGAGATTGTACTCCAAATGCAGACAGAATGTATTGCCATGCTCAAGGAAGGCGTGTGTTGGGATGACGTCCACGCACTAGCACATCGCATTGCTATCCGCGGCTTGTTGAAGCTGGGTATCCTGCGCGGATCCGAGGAGGAATTGTTCGAAAAGCGTGTCAGTGTGGCCTTCTTCCCCCATGGTCTCGGTCATTACCTGGGAATGGACACCCATGATACCGGCGGTAACCCCAATTATGAGGACAAGGATACCATGTTCCGCTATCTGCGTGTTCGCGCTAACTTACCTGCTGGCTCCGTGGTCACCGTTGAGCCTGGTGTGAGTACTCCTCGAGACCCCTCTTTTTCAACGCCCAATCCTTATTATTTACTAGATCTATTTCTGTCGCTTCATCATCGATCCCGTCTTAAAGGCCCCCGAGACCGGTAAATACATCGATACCGAGGTCTTGGAGCGGTATTGGAGTGTGGGAGGAGTGCGCATCGAAGACAACATCCACATCACCAAGGATGGTTTTGAGAATCTGACCACGGCCCCGAAAGTCATTGAGGAGGTGGAGAGCCTGGCTTTATAAAAATCAGTCACTCTACGGCCATTAACAAGACTTTGCCCTGGGACCGCTCAAACGCATTCATATCAAATTATGATAACCCATCGTTAATGCTTAGATATGTGATTGTACAGCTGGTAATAAACTAGATGTCTCTTCTACGCTTGCGCGCACTTCCCTTGATCTCATCCGATCCGTTCTTCAGTTTGCGATCCAAAATGATAGTCAGGACATCAAAGGAGAACTCTGGAACTTCAATGCACAGCTTCTTGAAGTCGTCCCCAACCTCCTGGCGCAGCAAGTGACTTTGATTCGCCCAGTAAGTCGCCACAGGCTTCCGGATGGTAGTGTCTGTTGTTGGTGTATGGGTGTATACGTAACGGGCGTATGAAAGCTCTGCGTCAGGTGAGCTCTTGACCTTATGGATCTTCCCATGGGCAATGCGCTGGAGGGTTGGCAGGCCCAGCTTCTCTGCAAGCGTGTAGATGCGCGCATGGCGCAGCAACTCGTCACCGCTTTTGTCTTCAGCTGTCTCCCCAGATGTTTCGGTTTGAATGACAGTGTAATCACGCGTGTACTGGAACTGGAGGAAGCAACCGAAGGCATCGACGTCCTCGTCCGGTAGGTTGATGCGTCGCTATTGACAAATGAGTTTAACAAATATATCATATATATGCGTGGATTGGGTATACACGAATGAACTCACCGGACCTGACGCTTCGAAGTTTTTAACAAATTCGGCTAGTAGTGGTGCCTCCATCAGGAGAGATTGATGAGCTGTCATAACAGTTTCATCGTCGCCTTTCCCAACGATAATCTCAACGATAGGTGAAGTCAAGAAGCTATGAGTGGTTGTGAGCTGGCGAGTACCGATTAGGATAATGGAAGGCGCCATTTGAAGAATTGTGTAGCAAAAAGTTTGGGAATAGAATGCTCACTCAAGGAAGTTAAAGCCCGGGTTCTTCTTTGCGGGTGTGGGTAGCTCTAGCTCCTGTACATCTGGAAGGGTCGAATCTTCTTGCGCTTCAGGTTCGGGTTGACTTGTATCCTGCGTCCCTCCCATCTCTACCTCGGTGGAATTGTGGTTCGCATTCGCAGTCGCATTCGCAGCAGTCGCAGTCACAATCGCATTGGGTTCAGGTTGAATTTCAGAGGTTTCCCCAACTTGAGTTGTTTGAGTATTAATTGTTCGAATAACCAAGGTATATGAAAATGACAAGAAGAGAAAGAGACCAAAGCTCCAGGGGGGCAGCGAGGTAAGGCGGAGAAGCACAAATTCAGGTGACACAAGAATTTCTATCTAGCTTGGTATAAATATAATATATATATATACACACACACACACAATTATAAACGATCTCTACTTTTATTTTCTTTAACTTGACCTTTCTCTTTGTTTACATTGGAATACTCCAAATCCACACGTCATTTTACCGTGCCAAGAGGAACACACAGTCTTTTCTACTAAACCCTGTACAATTGACAGGATCATGGACTCAAAATCAGAATCTACTGATTCTGTGAAGCTCGAGACTGGGGGACAACACTTGCTCAATGCAGAGGATACAGAGCTTTTACGGGAGATTCTCAGACACAATATCTCATCGGGTGAGAAACGGAAATTCAGGTTTTCAAGAACTGAAATTCACCCAACAACTGAGTACTTTCAAAATTTGGGAACTACTGTCCCCCAGTTCCATTGATTTTTTGTTCTCTTCTGGATGGGGTTGACCCTGATGCTGTTCAGACTTGCTGCCAACAATTAGAGAACCTATGGCAGCATATGGGGCAAGAACGAAATCATCCGTCTCATGTTAGATAAAGATGTCATGGTCATCGGGCTGACTGACTTGCTCCTATATTGGTCCACGGGGTTCTGTCTGATACTACAACGCGTAGTACTCAAGGGATACATTCGCTGGAATGGTCTCGGTTGGCTCATTCAGAATGTCAGTCTCAAAGATTCGCCCCCAATCCCGTTACCTTACTGAAATCTGCAGATTTGACAAACTACATATCTTGGAGTCGTCATATGGTGGACATATCATCGCGATTTACCGTGGACACACGCGGTCGTTATCGTGCTGCATTGCTTGGCTATGTTGATGAAGCAACACAGCTATGCAGCTTACAATGGCTACTGTATGTCAATTTTGTTCTTCAATGAGGAGGAGCTAATGAGGACGGTATCGGAAATATACCACAAATGAAATATGCTGAAAGCGAGTCTTGACCAAATCAAAGCCAAAGAAATAGGACTTGCTGTCTCTACCGAAACAGGGCACTCGTCTGCAGTTAATATGGAACTCAACACTGAGATCACAAACTTCAAGAGAAAAGATTTCACTCGACGCTCTTCTAACCTTCAAACCTATTCTCCATCCCATGGAACCAACCAGCCTTCATCTCTTATTAGGACAATCGAGACCGGCGTGCCATTTAAACTGAACCAGGTGAAATCCATCGGGGAATTGCTTGAGCAAGAGATCGAGATATTATCCGAGGGATTAAAGGGTCGGTGCTCGCTGACCAACAATCACTATCCTTACAACTTGACAATGAAAGATATCTGCGACTTTATGTCATTGCCCACATTGGTCTATGAGCTTGAATACCCATGGACCAAGAAAATTGGCTGGCTCTATGTTGCAGAGAAAACACTGGCCACATTCAGTATCATTATGGTTATGATCGCAGTCTCTCAAATCGTGGATATACCCGGTGGTGATGGATACGTTGCGTATGAAAGAGGAGGGAATGACCGTGCAGCAGAGACTACCGGAATTTCCTCCACGGTGACTTGATTTTTCCATTCATGATGGAGTATCTACTGGCGTTCTACGTGATCTGGGAATGTGTCGTAAGTCTACGTTTCTTCGTCTACCTAGATCATTGCTAGGTTCACCTAGCTCAATGCTCTAGCTGAGATCACCATGTTTGCAGATCGAGGATTCTATTCAGATTGGTAGAACTCAGTTTCATGGGATCAGTTCGCGCGGGATTCATAACTTCTTATTTCGGCATGTATATCATGGCTCTATCACCGAATACCGTTTGTCGCGTGTATCTGCCAGTCTTGTCACTTTTCTCTTGTCTGCATGTGTACACGAGTTGATCATGTTGTGCATCTTCCGACGTCCCCGAGGTTACCTTCTGATCCTTCAGATGTCTCAACTGCCGCTTGCTGCGCTAAGCCGGGCTCGCCTAATGAGAGGTCGCCGTTTGTTGGTAAATATCGTCTTTTGGCTAGACATATTTACCGGGCCAAGTCTGCTATGCAGCTTGTATCTGACCATTTGATTTGATTGCACTAGGTATCTATGGTTATATTGGATATATGACAACTCGAAAATGGTGCCACTTTCTATGACCTGTAAACAATACACATACCTATATATAAGTATATACTAAATATAACTAAATATAACTAAATATAGATGACCATTCCTCATATTGATCTCAGTATTGTTTATACTCTATTTGCCGGATTGAATAAAGCACGGTTCTGTTATATATAACCCCGCCTTTCTACCTACTTAGATCTCCCTATGCCCTATACACCTTCCATGATACAACTCTCGCTTGATCAAATATAACAAAATGACATCCAATTCACCCGATACCTGCTGCACTATCGGCGTTAAGCATGAAGGCGAAGCCAAGGGTCACCTCCAACAAATTGGAGATGGTATATACTTCCCAATGCTCTGGAGATAGACAGTTTTCGCTAACAATCGTAGTCGAGGTCTATATTCCAAGCCCCGAGCGTTCTAGCAATCGTGCCATCCTACTGCTCACCGATGTAATTGGTCACCGCTTCATTAATGCGCAGCTTATTGCGGATCAGCTAGCGGCAAATGGCTATCTAGTTGTCATGCCAGATCTATTCCACGGCGATCCAGTGCTGCTGCTGAACCGCCCCGCTAACTTCGATCTGATGGCATGGCTAAAAGGTCCCCCGGGTCATCTGCCAAACCGTGTAGATCCCGTGGTCCAGGCTATACTAGAGGAGATGAAGTCCAACATGGGCTGCGACCGGGTCGGTGGTATTGGATATTGCTTTGGAGTATGTTCATGTCTCGTGTATGCATTGATGCTGACCAAGTTGGCAAATGCAAGGGGAAATACGCCGTCCGACTGCTCCATCCAGGGCTCTGCGATGTTGCCTATGTGGCTCACCCAAGTTTCATCGACGCAGAGGAATTACAAGCAATCCAAGGCCCGCTATCCATTGCTGCAGCTGGTAAGTTATACGATCCGGTCATAGCGCCTGGACTAAATGATGATAGAAACCGATATCTTCCCGGCCTCAAAGCGCCATGAATCCGAGGATATCCTGGCCAAGACTGGCCAGCCGTATCAGATCAACTTGTTCAGTGGCGTCGAGCATGGGTTTGCTGTCCGCGCAGATATCACCAAGCCGACAATTCGCTTTGCTAAAGAGTCTGCCCTTTTGCAAGCAGTCGCATGGTTTGACCAGTACCTTTAATCACACGGAGATAAAAATATCCAGCATGGTAACAATAAAACTTTGATTGAAATCCACACTTGGGTTTGCCCCAAGAAGCGGGAGATTTACATGTATTGGAAGAGAAGGGGGAAAAAAAAGAGGTATGCAATGCCCTGACAATTGACAAAAATGAATTGCTGTATTCCTTACATCTTCTCGTGGGTAGCCATAAGGGAACCTATCATCTGTTAGCTGATTTTGCCATACCGATGAAGGGATGAACTTACCAATAAACGTAGTGACCAAACGAGACCGAACTTGACAAATGTCCTCCGGGACCAACCAGATGGTGGCACCCATCTTTCTGGCAATACTGATAGAAAGCTTAGCGTTTGCATATGCCTCTTCATCGGTCCGACCGGGCGTGACTAAGTCATAATCCACGTAGCTGCTCTTCATGCCATTGAGCACATCAAGGAGGAAAATTCCAGATCCAATAGACTTGTCTTTGAAGCTGCGTATCGTGGAAGACTTGCCGCCACTGCTAGACATGTCATTGGCCCAGCGGATCATCTCAGTATCAGTAATTTCGCGTTTGCCCAGCCGTTGAGCCAGCGCGGAGAGTGTGTTGGTGATATCACGGCGCATCAGCTGCCACACCAATCCGAGAGTGAGGGTTCGTTGGCCATCAGTGATATCAGCGCCCTGAACACCCACAAGAGAGAAACCATTATATTTCCCAAGCTCAATCGAATAATTGGTGTTTTCCACAGCCTTGAACCGCATCAATTCACCGCCAGACGCCGGTGGCTTGTTCACATGCTTCCAGTTCACGCTTCCAGGAATGACCTTATCATATGCCTGCAATAAAACAGAGCCATCGCGTAGGTCGTCGAAGAGCGAGTTGACTGCCGGCTGCACATCCAACGAATTCAACCACAGAGTGAATACTCTGGCCTCTCGCTCGCCCTCAGCGTCAAAGTCTTCAACTTCGAGCTTCTCCTCCTCGGTGATAGGGTCGAGTCCTGGGTGGGTGTTGAACAGATTGGCGACAAAAGCAAGGTTTAGCTTGGGGTTTCCGGCAACCAATGAGGTTGGGGTCAAGAATTTGCGGCAATCAAGCGAATCAGCGTTCTGGAGGACCTGTTCAGCCCGCTCAAGCAAGTCCCGAGTTTGTAGTGGGGCACGCGAGCAAACATCGGGTGCCAATTGGTTAAGGAGAACGGTGTAGTTCTCGCCATCCTTGACATCGGTAGAGAAGTTTGTCACCCTACATCGGTTAGCCACGTGTCTTGGTTTCTCCACCGAGTTATACATACCGTCTGTCCCACTTGGCATTCTTGAGATGATAGTTGAACCACCGAAGAAGAATCTGCTCTGGAGGCAAGCGCAGGAACTGCTCGAGAGTCTCATCCTCATCCAAAAGCCTATAAAGTTCAGGGTGGAGTTTGATATCGATCTTTCCAAGAAGGCCACGGCGGATGATTTGCCAGATGAGACCAAGGATGAGATGCTCGCGAACTTCAATGATATCCCCGCTTCCAATGTTAACAACTGAGCATCCGATACCCTTGGCAGAGTTGATAACAATGTTATTGTTCTCGGTCATGTGGAAAGCATTCAGCTGCTTGATTTTCTTCCCGGCCTTGTTTAGAACACGCTCATCAATGGTGTCTGGCACGCTGTCGTTGATCAACTTTGCCAAGACCAAGCCATCCTTGCACTTATCAAACATCTCAAATGTATCGGTGGGGAAAGGTAGGAGGTTGCCAACATCCGCATCGCCCGCCAGGACGGCATTGATATGTCGCGTGAACTCGGTTCGTTCGTCTTCGTTGATCGTATGTGTGACATTGGAAGAAGATCCCTGGACGTGGATTCGTCCACCCACACTGCCCTTGGAAACATGCCGAGATGCTCCAGTGCCAGCGCCGGCACCTTGGATAACGGCCGCAGGGGTAGTTGCTGCGCGGGCACCTTCAGTGGGTGCTGTCCGAAGCTTGGAAACGAGCTGCCGTGGGCGTTAATATCAGCGGGGTGAGAACGGGAAGCGGGGGAAATTGTATTACATCAACATAATCTTCGAGTTCCACGCGCCGGGAGCTATCGAGTTCCACATTTTTCAAAGCTGCTCGTACCACATCATACGGCTGGCGCTCTGATTGTTGAGCAGCTTTGATAGCGGTAGATTCATCAAGGTAGCCGCGGTCTTCGACGTCCAATCTGTTGAATGCATCCTGGAGGGAAAAGATTTCACCTTGATCAAGCTGCGGAAAACGCCTATATTAATTACAATGATCAGCATATACTTGCATTGAATGACAAGGAAATGTACTTCTGAAGCTTGAGGACGTTCATCTTGTCAGAATCACAACCCTGGCAAAATAGGTGGGGGTGATCACCCAGGGAAAGACCGGGTTTCGACAAAAAGTGGAAGTGGTGCTTTCGCACTGAACAGAGCAATTGTCAAGAGGTAAAGGAGAAGAAGAAATTGGATCTGTGCTAAAGGTGGGCAGTGCAGGGAGGCAGCCAGGTATACACGAGCCGAGGAGGTGGGGGGAATGAGCCACACCGTAATGAAAGTACAACATACTTGGTTAACGATACAGAGTACATGACACTAAGGGTATTATTGTATGGGAGACGTATCATGTAACGCTGTGTATTTGGGAATCTTGGAATGACGTCGACACCTTTGCATATTATTATATATGTATGTACATATGTACGTTAAGTATGCATGTATACGGAGTACATAAATGGAAGTATACATATAATTATGTAGTTATATATCTATATGCATAGTATGTATGTGTGTTCTTTTGTTTTCTAGAATGATTATCCTCTTTACTAACCAGTCGGATTTTCCACCATTATATAATTCGCTGTAAGTAACTAGTTAGTTAACTATATATTAGTTAACAACTTGCAATCAACTCTCCAGGGCTATAATGAAACATATATAAGTATATTGAGATAACTTGAAGTGACTTTGTAATTACAGTATATATATTTATATATATATATATACATATACACCTGTATGTCAAGAACACATTGATATACCGGTAACGTCCCAAGGCGGAATTGCAACGGGATTACATCATTTTCGATCTCCAAACATAAGTTACCTATGGATCTTCCTCCAACATTCTGTTGGCTTTATTGACATAGCTTTTGGATTTAATTGTTTCTCTTTACCCTTGCACCCTCCCTACAGCTACTCAAGCTGGTTCGTTTTATTGCCTTTCGGCGGGCCCTCCTCCCCATGGCAGGTGCAGAGCAAAAGTCGTTCTTAGGGACACTCACCCCATGGAGTACAAGGAGTTCAACACCAACACCGCCTGGCGGTCACCAAAAACCAGATGTTCTGCAACGATCGCAAGGGGAGGACCACACGGTGACCCACATGTATCGATTAAGCATGCGACGCTATCCCCCCGATTGCCCTCCATTGAAAGTCAGGTGGTTCTACGCAGTGGACTCGCCCAAGCGGAAACCATCTATTCTAGGACAGAAAAAGACAGACCAAAAGCCATTGCCATCGCCGAAGAAATTCATACCATTCCCAGGGAAAGACTCCCAGTCCATTGAAACGACATTCCAGAAACTCTCAGACATTGAAGATGCCCGCCAACAAAACCAGCCAAACGACAGCGAACCTGTATTGTCTAAAGTGCCCGTGAATGAGGATTTTCTTTTCAATGTCGACGTGGAACAACGAGAATTGAGTCCTACCTATTGGATTGGCCCTGTATATGAAGTTCGTCGTGGAACGTGGTTCATTCAGGATGGGTCTAGCCTAAAACCATGTGAAGAAAATCTTGCTACCCAGCTTGAAGAAGGCTATATCAAACTGTGTCCCTGGAGGTCCCAGCCACCGGAACAGAATCCACAGACGAACGAACGGGATAAATCTCGCCAGACCAAAAGCGTGCCAATCAACACCCACGAGCCAGATCCTAAATTCGCTCAATCAGCCAACCAGATCCCTCCTCCCCGTGGCATGGGGAGTGATTTCAACGGTCCCGCAGTGGAACCTCAGCAGTATCGTCTTTTTGGCGCTTACATGAATAGGATAGTGGGTTATCAAGATTCCACGACAGCCTGGCTGATGAATGATGATTTCATGTCACGCTTCAGTACTTCGGTGTATCAAAAGCTAGGAGGTGTTCCAGGAACAAAGTTAGTTCGAGGTTTCGAACCTAGGAAGCCAAAAGAGCCACCAGAAGCAAAGGGTCCCAAACAAAAACCACTGGGCGAGTCAATACCTTCCAGAGGTTTGAATGATGCCTTGAAAGACAAGGCAGCAAAAGCGGATATTCTCAAGCCAGCACCAGCTGGTGAATTCGAAGGCTACGAAAGTATACCGAAATCAACATTAGAACGCCAAATGTCCTCCCTTGCGGGTGAGCCGCAAAATCCAGCTGACCTCGAAGAACAGGCTCGTAGACAGGAGGAACAGGAGATGGAAGAGTCGAGAGAACTGGATGGCGCAGACAGAGAGCGCGAGGTTGACCATCTAGTTCTTGTTACCCATGGGATTGGCCAGCGACTCGGTTTACGACTGGAAAGCATCAATTTTATACATGATGTTAATGTGCTTCGCAAGACTCTGAAAACCGTTTATAAAGGCTCGCCTGACCTCCAAGCGTTGAACTCAGCGCTCCCAGACAACGATACGAATTGCCGTGTTCAAGTGCTTCCTGTGTGAGATTTGACTCCTTTGCTCAGAATTTCTTTTTGCTAATTTCACCAGGTGCTGGCGCCATCTTCTTGACTTTCCTTATCGAGGAGTTCGACAGAACAGAAAGGAACTGGATCTCACTGATGCAGATGCTCTCGAGGATGATGCTTATCCCAGCCTCTCCGATATAACGCTGGAAAGCGTACCTGCTGTTCGAAACCTCATCTCTGATTTGGCTATGGATGTACTTTTATACCAAAGTGGGTATTGTGAACACATCTCCAATATTGTTATCCAAGAATGCAATCGAATCCTCCGGCTGTACCGGAAGCAAAATCCTTCTTTCAAGGGGTCAGTTAGTCTCTGCGGCCATTCCCTTGGAAGCGCGATTTTATTTGACATCTTGTGTCACCAGCCGGGAAGCAATACTGGGCAGAATGGGGTCTTCAGAGGAATGGCCCAAGAGAGCGACGACTCAACCCCCAAGGATGCGAGTGTATTTGATTTTGACTGCGAAGAGTTTTTTTGTCTGGGATCCCCCATTGCACTCTTTCAAATGCTCAAGGGTAAGACGATTGGTGGATACTCTGCCTTGGATCCTCAAAATCGCAAAAAATCTCTGGATGTTGAGGTCGACTTGGACTCGCATGGTCCTGGACATGCGCTCAGCGACAGTTCCGGTATCATCTCAATGCCAAAGTGTCGAGATCTCTACAACATCTTCCATCCTTCTGACCCAGTGAGCTACCGGGTTGAGCCTCTGATATCTCCAGCGATGGCAACACTGAAACCCCAGCCTCTACCTTCGGTGAAAAAAAGCCTCTGGACGACCTCTGGTCAGAGTTTATCTATTCTCGGTAGCCGCATGGGCCAAAGTGTGGGTTCCCTGTGGACCAATTTTACCACGGGTGTCGCAAGCAGTCTGTTAAATCGCAGCTTGGGCCTAAATGGCGATGACACCTCGACGGCTGCTCGCACTCCTGGTAAACCAGGCGACGATTCAACCCATAGACGGTCACAGTCAGGCTCGGCTCAGCATGAGTCTGAGGGATCCAATGATCACTATCAGACATTGATCGATTCCGATCTGGAAACTCTTTACAATGGTTTCCAAAAGAGCAGGAGTATCAATCATGGCGAGAGTCTAGACCCCGATGCCGACACTAACGAAGACCGGAAGCTGAAATTCGAAGACGCTAAAGTGCGTGCCTTGAATGCAAACGGTCGTGTGGACTATAGTATCCAAGAGTAAGATCCTATATGGTCCAACATTATTGAACCTTATTGACAGGAATATAGGGGAGCCTTTGATATTTCATTAATAGCTAGTATTGCTAGTCATCTCACCTATTGGGGAGATGAGGATGTCAATCACTTCATGCTTTCCCAGATACTTTCTAGAAGACAGAGACATAAACAAAAACATAGATGAAACGCAAAAATACACTACATTCTCTAGTCTACTGAGTTCATATCCCTGGAGGCCCGCGTACTTCATGAACTTAAGTAATTGCTTTAGTAACCCAAAGAGGGCTAGCGTCCAGTCGGCTAAACATTAGGTAATATGAAATTCCCCTACAAAATTCCTGAGGTCTTTTTCGTGTTTCTTTTCTTCTCTATTTCTCACCATTCAACCTTTAGAGAGGTTGACAAGTGAGCTTGAAAAGCCGAGTCCAAGTCTTTCCTAGACTATAAATTTCTTCTTAATGAGGTTGAAGTTTATGTCATGGATTTGGAAGCACCTATGAAGGATTAGCGATTATGTGGCTATGTTGTACATCCACATAACACAATGATCTTCCATTTTGGGATTTCCCTGTCGAATTCCCTTTTCCCTCTCACATAACCGCATCCTTTACATCTGGCATGAAGCGCATGCTCTTTGAATGCTTAGATTCACTCTGATTGCGGAGATCAACTCCTTTCTGTTAGCTTTAGATTCCTTGCTATATAGCTCAATGCTTGTAAGGAAATTATGATTGGATACATACCTATAAGAATATATACATACATAATTTAGCTATTTGAATGTATACAATAAAGAAGTTCAAATATTTCTTCCTATCGAGCTTACGAGTACGAGGTGCGCGCACTGGCCAATGCCAAGCAAGGGTTCCCTATCCCTTATCTTCTTGCTCTTATTGTTCTAGAACTGTCACAGACCTACAAGCTCACATTTGATCTTGAATACGAAATGGAGGGTTAACTACAATTACTCTGGACACCCTCCAAATCCGGGATATCTCAGCATAATGAATAGCCTCAATGATGACTCCGAAGTCATCCCAACAGGCAAAGACCACACTCCCCCGACACACCCCATCTCGAATCAAGTGATTTCAAAAGAACTCATCGATGCTACGCTCAATTTTCTCTCCATCTCGTCCAATGAGACCCTCCTTGGAGTCTTTGCGCTTCTTGCACTTGTCACCTACATTATCCTAGGGAGAATCGGCCTACTTCTGATTGGAGTGGCTGTAGGGGTTGTCCTACACGCGTCATGGGAGAGATCGGATATTGAACACGCTGACGGGGCACCACACGCGTCAAAGCCAAACAGGCGAAGAGAACTTGCGCTGGAAGTCTCCAACAGGCTTTTGGACTGGCCCAAGCGGGCTTCAGACATCCACGGCGGCGACCATGGTTCTACAACTACGCTTGAAGATATGTCTTCAGCAGACTTGGAATATGCCACCTTCCAACCAGCCACCGCTGTCGCGCTGAGAACGCTTACTGATGCAGTTGTAAAAGACTATATCAAGTAAGTACCCTTTATCCATGTCCCTTCTCCCGCTGTGAAACAAGTAGCTTACTCCAAACACAGATACTGGTATGAGCCACTTTTACCGTCCGAATCAACCTTCCCTGGTTCCTGTCGAAGGATTTTCACCCATTTCATCACATCGATCTCCTTGCACCTCTCGCGGAAACGAACAGAGGACACGTTCTTGCAATTTCTCACCAACTCCTCATCTATCGTCATTGTATTCTTGAATGAACTTGCCGCAGCATTCACTGCTGCGGGCTCTTCCCCAGCGGAAGCTCAAAAAGCTGTGGATCAGTACCTCGAACAATTTCCAGATAGCAGCCTAGCGAATGTCTTGTCCGAGAAACAACAAAAGAAGAAACTCGGCATGATTGCGGATGACATACTGTCAAACTTTTTGGACGTGAAGACCTACAATTGTCCGGCTGTACGGGACTTCCTCCGTGAGGTTTTTGCAGAAGTGGTATTGCGGTCCACTGTTACGAGCCTTGCCCGTCCTGAATTTATCAATGAATGGATTATCTATCTTCTGCAGGGTGGCGAATCTGAAATCATGCATGCTATCGACGCAGGCGTTGAAGGTGCAAGGAATCAGGGCGTCAGTGCTCCCAGGTCTTCAGAAGACCCGAGCACAGACCCCGTTAAAGCCACCACGCACAGAGAGTCTATCTATGTGGCAAAGGCTACAGAAGAAGAAGCTGTTCTAGAGGTGAAACGTCTAAGCGCCATGATTGCATCCCATGATACGCATAGCTCAGGATCAGAACAGCCACGCCAAAGCGAACAAATCGACGAAATTTACGACTTAAAGGTTGATATGGCTTCAAATACGACTCATGAAAACGAAGGTCAGCATGACCGAGGGTCATTGCCCAATATGCAATTACCTACAAACCCAAAACCATCCGAAGAATCTCCTGGACCAGCTTTAATTCTTCATGGAGCACAAGTTTTGGTAGATGATGACGGAGCGAGGGATGAAAAGGGCCAGATCAAATCGCGACCCATGTGGGATTATCTACTGCAGGTCGAGCCGGCGTCAACACGCTCGACTGGGTGGATGGTTTTTCGCAAATACTCGGACTTCCAGTCTCTTCATGAGATGTTGGGAACCGTTTCACGGTTGAATCAGATTTCAAGTTTCTCAGAGCGTCACCCCACACTGCCCACCTGGAAGGGGAAAACACGGCAAGCTCTCGCTCGGGACCTGGAGTGGTATTTACAAGATGCTATGAGGCACGAGTCCCTTGCCGACACTGATCGAATGCATCGATTTTTGGAAAAAGACGCGGGTTCATCCGCCGAACTCAGCGGTTCTAACAAACCGGTATTCTCTTTCCCTAGTCAGACTGCGTTTGAAAACATGGGCAAGGGCGTGCTGGGTGCATTGACCAATGCGCCAAAAGGAGTGGCAGGGGGCGGTAAAGCCGTGTTTGAAGGAATGACGGGGGTGTTCGGAGGCGGCGCCATTGGCAAGAAACCGGCCGTCACTGCTGATCAACCCCAAGTTGATCACTCCAGTCGCTCCAGTTTGTCGCAAGCACGGTCTAGCTTTGGTGATCGAGACATGTTAATCAACGAAAATGTTGGTCCGCCTGTGGTGTACCCTAGCGACTCCCTGGAAACCAAAAGAGGTGAAATTTCCAAGTCGCCTTCGACCGACAGTAACAGAAAGTCGCTTGCGAATGAGCAAAGTGCATGGACTACCGAAACCTCGCCATCAAAAACCTCGCTTAATGTCAGTGATAATACTGCAGAACTTGACATCCAGGCAACGGAAACTATTAATCAAACCTCATCACATCGCCGATCAGAGACTGGGCAGAGTATGGATCAAACCCGCAAGCAGGGGAATCCCATCACAGCTGATGAGACGCAAATAGCAGTAGAGCTGATCTTTGCGGTTATCAATGAGTTGTACACGTTGTCGTCTGCGTGGAACATACGCCGGACCCTCTTGAATGCTGCCAAATCGTATATCCTACGTCCCGGGAGCCCGACATTGGAAACCATTCGTACTCTGTTGCAAGAATCCATGATAGAAGGCCACACTTCAGACAACGCCCTCGGGGATTACCTCGTTAAGCTTCGTGAGAACGCACTTCCGACAGAAGAGGAACTCAAAGCCTGGCCCCCTCCACCCAGTGAGGAGGAGAAGGTTAGGTTACGGGATACTGCGCGTAAACTATTTGTGCAGCGAGGAATTCCACAGGCCTTAACCAGTGTTATGGGGGCGGCTGCTAGTCGAGAAGCGCTAGAGAAGATCTTTGATAGTCTCCAGGTTGAGAGTGTCGCTCGAGGATTTGTTTTTTCAATTCTACTACAAGGTCTTAGGGTCTTGACTCTGTAATGTTGAATAGATCATATTGATTTAGGAATATATAAATTAAGAAGTAACAAATGTCAAATGATAACATCTATTAGGATTTCACGTGATGACGTGTCCGCGTTTCGCGTTCGTGTTTGGACACAACCTTCTTTCCACTTTGCTTACTTTTTCCTCATAACCAGCTAAAGATCATCTCTCATGTCATCCAGGAAACGTTCTTCTGAATCAGGCGCTGGTCTTGACAGCGTGCGCCCCAAAAAAGCCAAGGTCAACACTATATTGGAACCCAAAATAGACTCTAATGGAGATCGCTATTGGGAGATATCTAAGATGCGCCGCGTGACCATATCTTCTTTCCGTGGGAAAACTCAGGTCAACGTCAGAGAATACTATGAAAAGGATGGGCAGGAATTGCCAGGAAAAAAGGTCAGTTGGTCGGTGATATTTTTCCTAAGCCGTGCTAATATTCATTCTCAATTTAGGGTATCTCAATGCCGGTAGATCAATTCGCTGCCATCGTCTCCATTCTACCTGAGATTGAGCAGGCACTGAAAGAAAATGGGGAAACCCTGCCTCGGCCTATCTACTCGGCAGAGGGAGGTCGGTGTGATAAAGAGCAAGGACAGGACCATTCGGACAATCAAAGTCCCTCCAAGCAGAATATCGAGGCGACAAGTGATGAGGAGAGTGAAGCATGATTGCCAATTAAGAATTGATTTGCGTTTCCAAGTTATGGCCCTCGCAATTTTACTATAATCAAATTTATTCTGATTGAATCAACCCATGGTGTGTAGTTTGGACTTACTCCCTAGTTTCCTTATAGATCACATACTCGCCTCTTGCGTTGCAATGTTGTTGGCAATAGAACCTCCCCGCCAAGCACGACGATGATCTTTCTCGTGGAGAAGCTGACTCTGATCTCCAATTTGACCCCATCCTCCCCCTCCTGGTGTGCGGACAATGATCCGCTCTCCTGCTTGCATCAGAGCGGAATTCTTCGCCCCTAGGCTGATATATCTTCTCTCCCAGCTTCCATCTTGCTTTTTCATGCGGCGTACCCAGATGTTTTGACCACATTGGGCGTCCTCGCCTCCCTCCAATCCATATGGGTGGTAAACTCTTCGTTCGGAAAGGATGGAGACCTGCACTGGAATGCGGAATTCAATGTCTCGAACAACGCCATCCCCGCCGCGGTGCTGACCATTGCCCCCTGAATTCGGTCGCAGACTGAATTCTCGGAGGATCACAGGGTACCGTCGCTCAAACACCTCTGCATCGGTGATTCGGGTGTTAGTCATGTGTGTATGAACCCCCGAAGTGCCTTCCCAAGTCGGACCAGCCCCGCTACCCCCGGCGATGGTTTCATAGTAACCAAAACCTCTTGTTTCAGTCTCGCCGGGCATATTACCCCCGAACCCAAATGTGAGATTGTTGGTATCACCCTGTGATGCAGCGCAAGCCTGGAAGCACCTCAAGATGACATCGGTCACGCGTTGACTCTGGGAGAAATGATGAGCCCATGACCAATGTTGAGTATTTGTCTGATCCTACCGTCAAAACATTGCCACCCACCACGGCAGCTGATTCCGAGGGGGATAGAAGACTTCCTGGGGGAATTCGGACGTCAATTGGCTTTAAACAACCCTGATTTAATGGGATATCTGCCGAAATAAGGCATCGCAGGCAATAGATGATCGCTGAGTATGTGACAGCCTCCGGTGCATTGATATTACCTGTCATTGTCAGCTCAATAATCAATTTATCTCACGGACAATCAATCATACCATATACTTCTGGGCCTGTCCCCTCGAAATCGAAGATTGCCTCTCCTTTGTCCCCATCTATTGATATCTTCAATTGAATAGGGCTCCCATCGTCCATGTAATCAATAGCACTCAGATCTTGCCCAGAAAATCTCTTGCTCACATCCTTCAGCAAATTACGCACGCTGAGCTCTGCATTATCTTGGATCTGGTGCATATAGAACTGCACGACAGCCTCGCCATATTCCTCGATTAGAGTGCCGATCAAGTTGATTCCTTTCTTATTTGCAGCAATCTGAGCCTTGAGATCATTCAAGTTATCTGCTAGGCACCGAGTGCCACTGCAGTTTGGATACTGGGCCGGCTCTTTGTACAGCAATTCTGTGATACGCTCCTCATCAAATTTGCCTTCTGATACCAACTTTTCGCTCTTGATAGCTGCGCCTTCTTGGTAAAGCTCCTTTGAATGAGGTGGCATAGATCCCGGGAGTATTCCTCCAATATCAGCTTCATGAAGGTTAGAATATCTTCTTTCCCCCCCTCTCTTTTTGTGGAAAGGCCTTACCATGATGTGCCCTAGACGCGACGTAGAATATAATCTTCCCCTGGCTAAAAGCAGGCTGTATGACTGTGATATCTGGGAGATGAGTTCCCCCGAATTCCGGGTGATTTGACACGATCACATCACCGGGTTTCAGTTTATCTTGCCATATATGGGCCTGTATCCGTACACAGGTGGACATGCTACCGAGATGAACGGGCAAATGTGGTGCATTCGCAACAAGCCCGCCTTCTGCGTCGAACAATGCGCAGGAGTAGTCAAGCCGCTCCTTTACATTAGTGCTTACACTTGTCTTCTGTAAAGCACGTCCCATTTGCTCGGCAATGGCCATAAATCTATGCGAGAAGACGCTCAGCAGGATAGGATCCACATTGTCGGTACTAATCTTTGGCTGGCTGGTATCGGGTTCACCAATATTGATGACGACGTGGGTTTTTGTCAAGAGCGCTGAAGCTCCTGGGGTCACCACGATTGTTTGGGTTTCATCGGCTAAAATCGCTGGGCCTCTCACTCGGTCATCAACCTTCAAGTCATCGAGTTTGTAGATTGGTGTTTCATGTCGGCCGCTCTCGAAGTATACAAGAGATCTGCGATATTCTTGACCCGTCACATCCTTTGGGTTGGACTCCTGAATCTGCTGGTCCACAGTCTTCTCAGATATTTTGAATCTTTTCCCGATTCCTCTCACCCGCACATCATCCACAATGATGTCCCGGTCTGGGAGAGTAAACCCAAATTCTTGGTCGTGTTGCTTCATAAATGCCTTCCCAAAGGCCCATTCATCGCCTTCAAAGTGAAGATCGGCCTCCTCTTTGCTGGGTTTGAGTATCATCAAAGCAGATTCTGTGCCTCGATATCGCATATTGAGGTATTCTTCAAACACAATTGAATCATTGCTGAAGCCTTGGTCTCGCAACTTCTGTGTGGATTTTTTTTTTAATGCTTCTATCCTCGAGCCAAGTGCATCCCGAACCCCTCCCTTGCCATCGTCAACCCAGGTCTTTGATTCGGGCTCTTGGTTTTCATCAACAACATCTGCCAGTGCCATGCCGTATGCCGAGAGCACCGAAGAATACCGATGGATTAAAATCTGCCGAATCCCAAGGCTCTCGGCAATGGCAACGGCATGTTGACCCCCAGCTCCTCCAAACGTAGCCAACCTATGTTTTGAGGTGTCATGTCCCTTGGCCTCTGTCAGGGATCGAATGGGCCGAGTCATCGTTTCGTTGGCTACCTTGATAAAACCAAAGGCAACCTCGTCAGGGGACATTTCTCGGCTTTGACCCCCTTTGGTCAACTTGTGGTTGATTTCCTTGGTTAGTTCCTCAAACAACACCTGACTGGCCTGTTCATCCAGTCCTTGGGTTTCATCTGAGCCGAAAATCTTCGGGAAGAAGTCTGGGACTAACCGCCCAAGGAACAGATTGGCATCAGTTACTGTGAGTGGTCCACTCTTACGATAACACGCGGGCCCTGGATGAGCTCCTGCTGACTCGGGCCCGACGACGAAGAGATCATTACGGTAGAATAATCTCGAACCGCCACCTGCAGCAACAGTGTTGATATCCAACTGAGGAGACTGAATTGTCACTCCAGCAGTGGTTGTCTCGAAAACATGTTCGTACCGACCGGATCCGTATCTGCTAACATCCGTGCTCGTCCCTCCCATATCGAACCCTATTACGGGAATCTTTGACACAGGATCGTAGGAAGTCAACGCATAACCCACCACTCCGCCAGCAGGTCCTGACAGAATTGCTCGTAGACCTGAAAATTGGTCCACATCCACAAGGCCACCGTCCGATTGCATGAATTCACAGCGTGCGCCTTTGGTACCCGCCTGCTGTTTGATACTCTCACTGCCTAGGCCACCCTCGAATCCAGCTTGAAACCCAGCGATATACTTCTTGATGGTAGGAGTCAAATATGCATCGGCGCAAGCTGAAGTGGTCCTCGGTACAAGTTTAATCATCGGCATGAGCTGGTGGCTCAAACTCACATGGTGAAATCCAATATTCTTGGCTATTCTTCCAACCAGTGCCTCATGATCTGGAAAGGTGTAACCATGTATAAGACATATTGCTATGCTTTTAATCCCGCGGCTGTATACCTCTTCCAACTGCGACCTCACCAAGTCCTCAGATGGACGCTTCAGTATGCGAACTGCTTCTGAAGAAAGACCGCGAACAACATCGGCTTCTGCCCGGGTCTGTTCTCGGGGAGTTGTGGCAGTGCTGTTTCGTTCCGGATCTTCTGCGTAGTCTTCCAAAGTGACGCGCTCGTTCACCTCAATCACTTCTTCGTAAAGAACATCGGGACGTTTGATGGCAAGGTCAAAGATTCGGGGACGAGACTGATTTCCAATCTCCAGGCAGTCTTTGAAGCCCTTGCTTACCACCAGCGCCACTCTTTCCCCCTTCCGTTCTAGCAGCGCATTTGTTGCCACTGTTGTACCCATGCGGATGCTCTGGATCAAAGAAGTGTCGATGGGTTGCCCGCGAGCTATTTCTTGGCCTGTAAATTTGGAAAGAATCCGCCGAATACCCTCCAAAGGCGCATCTTTGTAGTTGGGGTCCTCTGAGAGCAGCTTAATCACAATGTCATCTTCCAAGCGGCCCGTCCCTGGATTTCCAACGCAATCCGTAAATGTCCCACCTCTCTTTTTAACATGTCAGTGTTATAGATAAGTAATGAAGGGGAAGAAGGCTAATACATCGATTGCAATGCTGATACCTGTTTGTTTTGTTGAACTCATAATATTTTTTGAGACTGGTAGTTTTGGGAGAGAGTTCCCCGCACTACAAATACATACACCAAATATCCTACGTCATGGCTATGGCAACTTTCAAAATGGGATCAAAATAGGGATCTTAGAGAAATGTTGCTTTGTTGCTTTTTTTAAGGGGGATTTTCTCTTTAAAAAACAAAGGTGGGAATACTTCAAACTCCCGGGCATTGACCTCGCATTGACCTCGCATACAACTAAGGCACTACAGTGGTTCGGGAAAACAAGACCACATAGTATGGCGATCGGTTGAAAGGGGCGAGGAATTGAAATAACCGGTTTCAAATTAAATTGCGAACAAGACGGAGGGCGAAACGGAATTCATCGTGGTATTCGGGCGCGGACTTGGAACGATCGCTCGACGTTCGCTTCGGTGGGATCCGAGCTGCTGACCAGGATAAATTACCAACCTCACAAATAAAATGGGAATAACTCGGGGAAAAGCAAGATCGAAAAAAAAAAAAAAACAAATCGTAGGGGAAGCAGGGGTCACACGTTCACTTGGCCCCCGTCTTATCCCGAAGAGCGAGCTTCACGCCATTTGAAATCAGAAACACATAAGGGGGACGAGATACGAGATATGCCAGATGTATCAGGAGTAACACCGGAACGATAACCCTGCTTGGCACAAACGCAATGAAGGAAAACCTTCAGGAGATGAAAACAGCATGACGGGAAAACATGGGTCGAGAGCGAAAGAACTTGGGACTGAGTTGATCTACTCAGCAGTATCAAGCTCGTCATGAGCAGAGGGCATTGGGTCCAGGGGTACTGCTGTATGTGAGTGAGAAGAACGTTTTCTAGGCTGTATTCCGAAGTAACTGACCTTTCCTGTCCTCACCGTTGGGGCCGTTCTCACGGTCCTCCTCACGACGCTCCCGATCATCATCACGTCTCTCCCGGTCATCCTTGCCATCACGTTCGCGGTCATCGGGGCTGCGAGAGCGATCACGAGAACGGTCGCGATCACGTCGATCGTGGTCACGGTCACGGCGGTCAGAATCACGGTCGCGACGGTCGTAATCGCGGTCAGTGCGGTCGGCATCCCGTTCGTACCGATCATCTCGGCGAGGGGAATAGTCACCGCCACGGCTGCGGCGAGGGGATGGGGAACGACCACGGCGAGGAGGAGTGCGATCGCGGCGACGATCGCGGCCAGCGTCGCGGGGAGCATCACGGCCAGAGCCAGAGTCAAAGCGCCAAGAAGCAGATGGAGGGGTGCGTGCCCACTAGAGATACGTTAAAAAAGATCTCTAAGTAAGCTTTGTGGGAGGATATGCTTACCTCAATCTTCAACAAATCATCGCGGCCGATACGCTTGTTGTGCATCTCATGGTAAGCATCATCGGCATCGCGGCGGCTCTCGTATTCAACGAAAGCGAAACTAGGCGATTTGGATTAGACAGACAAAATGGGTTCAGATATATCATTCAACTCACAGACGGCTGGAGGGAGTGCGCGGAGCAGGGATATCACAGCGAACAAGGCGCCCATAACTAGTTCCAAAATCAGTTGAGCTAGCTTCAGGTACCGGTATTGAGAGATATTATGATAACCAAGACTAGCTAACTGTTGCCCAAGGAGTGAACGGGGCAACATAGACATCGAGCTTCCACGCCGATGTCACGCTAGTTGGGAGAGGGAAAGAAAGAAGAATGCCGCCCAAGGCCTTTAGTGCCATTTGATCTTCATCGGGAGGGTCGTCGGAAGGATGGGGATCGAAGTTCGTAGGTGCGAAGGTAGAGGCGACACGTACCGTTCGAATTCGTAGGCAAGATCGCGAGCACGGGTGCCATGGCCAAACCCGGTAACATACAATGTAGTTCCAGAGCGAGAAGACATGGTGCCGTTAGCACAGAGCAATGGAAAAGAGAGAAGATTAGGTCAGTTGGGAAAAAATTTGAAAGATTTTGAAAGGAGAGGTGGAGCTTAAGAAGCTTCAAGAGGATAAAGAGTATGTTGTATGAAAAGAGAGAGAGAGAGGGAGGGAAAGAATTTAGGAAGGTACTACGGTGGTCCAAACATGCCAATGACGCACTTGATTGGAGTCTCTCTTTTATTCTCCCTAGATATTTCTTATTTATTTTAGATCCCATAATAATTTAAAAAATAATAATTCATCTATATCAAGATCTTTTACAATTGAAGTAAATTTGTTGTCTATGGGTGTTGAGGATCTAGACATTGTAGCTAGGTCAACCCCAAGGCCCAGGTACGTAATATGATGTGGCGGACTAGGACTATCGGGAGGTACCGTGTCTGTCGGTAAGTCGGAATGTTCTTCTCTTTCTAAACTTCTACCTTGACCTAGGTATACACACCACTCTTGTGTAATCAGTGACACCTTTCTTGTTTACTGTTTCTTGTTACTTGTTGCTCCCCCCCCTGGCTCAATTATATCTACATTAAAGGGGAAAAAGCAACTCCGGCCCCAACACCTCATCTGATCATAGCAAAGCCCTTTTGACCTTGCTTCACCTTTTTAGCAAATCTGCTGGAATCACCTTTTATACCTGAGTTATATGGTCATTGAACGCAACAATACATTACTGAACACGAGATCAACAATGTGCTTTTAGATCCAAGCCTTGGAAGAGAACCAACCTTCATGGCTAGCACTACACCTATGGTGCTTTATCGCATTTGATTTGCAGCAACAATCAATCTTCAATTTCTAGTCAAAAGATTTGCTAGAAGCAATTACATCGCAGAACACGAAGGACTTCTTTATCAATCTCAGAACCGGATGTGCATACCGTCAAGATGAGCTTAGATCGCCAAAATGTTGCTCAGGAAAAGGATTTGGAGGGTGCAGGAAAGCCTGCCTTGCAGAATCTGTCCAAGTTTCCCTCTGGTCCAAACCCAATCAATGTGAGAAGGACAACCTGTCATTCCCCATCCCTATGAGCTGGAAGACTGACTTGTTGATTAAAGCAGGAGCTGATTAACGACCCACCCCGGTCACTTTGGGTCACTACTAGAAAGAACCTCGCTGAACCAGTGGTGGCCGCATTCATGGCTGGTGGAGTGGCTGGCGCAGTTTCCAGAACAATAGTGTCACCACTTGAACGATTGAAAATTCTTCTTCAAATTCAAAGTGTCGGTCGAACAGAATACAGATTGTCAATCTGGAAAGCCTTGGTGAAGATGGGGCGTGAAGAAGGCTGGCGGGGCTTCATGCGAGGAAATGGAACAAACTGTATTCGCATCATCCCCTATTCTGCAGTACAGTTTGGGAGCTATAATTTTTACAAGAAGGTGGGTGGATGTTCATATTCTGCAGTAGGTTTCTGATCTAAACTGACCTTTCATATAGTTTGTAGAGTCTCCCGATGGTGAGATGACCCCGATGCGTCGACTTATTTGTGGAGGTGTTGCCGGCATCACCTCGGTGACCATCACCTATCCTTTGGACATTGTTCGAACCCGGCTTTCCATTCAATCCGCCTCATTTGCCGATCTTGGAGCAAGAGACCCAAACCAAAAACTGCCAGGCATGTTCACCACAATGGCCATGATATATAAAAATGAAGGTGGAGCAAAAGCTTTATATCGTGGAATTGCTCCTACTGTTGCTGGAGTAGCCCCATATGTGAGTTATCTGTTTAATTCGACTTGATCACAACTGACAAGTGACAGGTGGGACTCAATTTTATGACATACGAATCGGTGCGCAAGTATCTGACGCCGGAAGGGGACAAAAACCCTAGCTCCTATCGAAAACTACTGGCTGGCGCGATATCTGGAGCAGTCGCCCAGACCTGTACCTATCCTTTGTCAGTTCTTTTCTTCTATTGGCCAATCCCATGAAACTGACTCTTCCTTAGTGATGTGCTACGTCGGCGATTCCAGATCAACACCATGTCGGGAATGGGTTACCAGTACGCCTCGATCTGGGATGCTGTGAGGATCATTGTGGCAGAAGAGGGACTACGTGGACTATTCAAAGGGATAGGGCCAAATCTTCTGAAAGTCGCTCCTAGTATGGCCAGCAGCTGGTTGAGCTTTGAAATGACTCGTGATTTCTTCGTCGGCTTGAATGATAGAGAATAGTTCAAATAATATGTACCTAGATATTTCTTCTCGTTATTTTTATGGACATTTGATTATATACAATGCATATATATTATACACTAAAAAAAGAAAGTGAGGTGGTAATGTAATCAATATATGATGTTGGATCTGTCATAGCAAAATTTGAAGATAAGGTTCACTCGCTGGAGTAATTCTCTGATGGGGATCCACATTGCACGTGACTGAGTGGCCAATTCAATGGTTGCATCACGTGGCTTTAGTCAGGTCATGTGCCTCGCCTTTCCTAGTCAAGTCTAGCGTAGGGCTAAACCCACACAACACTGTCCAGCCGAAAGTCAAGGATCAAAAACCTCCTGCACTTTCCATACGGGTGCGACAGCAAGCTATTTCCCGGGAAGTCGACCAATACACAGCCATGGGTATGTTCAATCATCTCCGTTCAATCGACTATCGCATCTTGCGGCATTCATTCGAACCCCTTTCCTTTTTTGTCGTTCTCAGTCCAATCCACTGACAATTCATAAATCGCAGGTATCGACCTGGACCGCCACCATGTGCGGAGCAGCCACCGCAAGGCTCCCAAGAGCGACAACGTCTACTTGAAGGTTCTGGTGAAGCTCTACCGCTTCTTGGCTCGTATGACCCCCGATTCCGAATTTCGTCTGCAGCGCAATTTCTACAGGTGTACCGTTTTCAGGATTTAGTGAGGCTGATAAGGGATGCATGATAGGCCGCACCGAGTCCAACTTCAACAAGGCCGTCCTCCGCCGTCTCTTCATGTCGAGAATCAACCGCCCCCCGGTTTCCCTTTCTCGCGCTGTCTCCAACATCAGTGAGGCACAGAAGGGCAAGACCGTCGTCGTTGTCGGCACTGTCACCGACGACAACCGCCTTTTGACCGTCCCCAAGCTGTCGATCGCTGCCCTCCGTTTCACCGCCACCGCTCGCGCTCGCATTGAGAAGGCCGGTGGTGAGACTTTGACTCTGGACCAGCTTGCTCTCCGCGCTCCTACCGGTGCCAACACCCTCCTCCTGCGCGGACCCAAGAACGCTCGTGAGGCCGTGAAGCACTTCGGCTTCGGTCCTCACACCGACAAGGTGCGTTGTTACGACTGCAAAAAGAGACGGTACACAGACTTACTAACTCAAAATAGAAGCCGTACGTGGGTAGCAAGGGCCGCAAGTTCGAGCGGGCTCGTGGTCGCAGACGGTCCAAGGGTTTCAAGGTTTAAGGGACTTGATAAGGATGATGCGGTGTGTATGTATTGTGAAAGATGCATTAGCCACATTGACTTTCTCGGTACCTGGAATCATTCCAGATCTAGCCAGCGACCTCAAGTCTGTGTACTTAAAAGTGGCGGGATGTCTTTGGTTGGGCTGGAAAATGAGAATTTACGAATGAAGGGGCAAAAGAAAATTGAATCAGGCTTTGTCCTAAGTTTTTTCTTACAGGATTTTTCAAACAAGAAAGCAACCAAAAAAATCTGTTTTAAAATGATATTCTTCTATGCGTTGCACTGGGGAGTCAATTACTGGTCTATGGGCAGAAAAGTATGGAGATATTTCTTCCCTCCTTCACCATCATAGTCCGCTGCCCTGTGACCATTTCCCCGGATCAAGTACTTGTAGATGGTCAGACCCTCAAGTCCAACCGGTCCTCGAGAATGAATCTTGTTGGTGCTGATGCCAACTTCTGTGCCAAATCCAAACCGCATGCCATCGGCAAATCTAGTAGATGCATTCCAGAAAACACCGGCGCTGTCGATTCCGCTCATGAAGATATCCGCCGCCTCTTTTGACCGAGTTAAAATGATCTCTGTATGCTTGGAGGAATGCATGTTTATATGGGCAATGGCAGCCTCCAGGGCCGTGATCGGAGAGTCGGTTGAGGCAATTGTTTTCACTGCCAACACAAGGTCCAAAAATTCGGTGTTATAGTCGGATTCGGTGGCTGTTTGCAATAGCGCTGACTCCTCGGCTGGCAATGTCTTCGTCAATGCAGATTTCGAATCCGCATCACAACGAAGAGTCACGCCTTTCTCTAGGAGTGCAGCAGCTACCGTCGGGAACACCGATTCAAGGGTATCCTCGTGGACAAGCAAGGTCTCCAATGAGTTGCACGCCGCTGGATAGTTCGTTTTCGAGTCCACAATCACTTTCACGGCGGTATCAATATCGGCATCAGCGTGTATGTAAGCAGAGCAAAGGCCGTCGGCATGTCCAAGCACAGGGATCTTTGTATTCTCTTTCACGAAACGGACAAGCTCGTTGGAGCCTCGAGGAATGACCAGGTCAATTAGCGAGTCCTGTGCCAAGAGAGAAGACACTGCATCGCGTGTCTTGACCAGCTGGATCGATGAAACTGGCACCTGAGATTCGGCGATAGCTTTAGAGACAACGTTTGCGATTGCCGCAAAGGATTCCATGGATTCCTTCCCGCCTGCGGATTTGCGTTAATTGAACAATGTCATGAAACCTTATGATAGCGTTCGTGTACCTTTTAGAATAGCAGCGTTACCTGACTTAATAGCCAACGCAGCGATGTTTGCTATTACCTCTGGGCGGGCCTCAAAGATAATCAATAGCACACCGATAGGGCAGCTAACTCTCTCGAGTGTCAGACCATCGTCAAGGAGGGTTCGCAGTGTCACTTTCCCAACTATGGTTGTAATATGTTAAGTTTTGTCTCAATGATTGGAGTTCAAATATGAAAGTGCACACTCACCAGGGTCATCCAAATCTCGCACACTCAAGATTCCATCAAGCATGTCTCTGTATTTTCCAGGCCGCGACAGATCAAGTCTCTTGAGCACGCTATGACTTAAATTCCCGCTCTCGGCCGCAATAGTAGCAATTTCCACATCTCTAGCATTAGCTGCAAGGATATCTTTCTGGTATGTTTCCAATGCATCATGGAGCAACGTCAAAGCTTTATTGCGGTCATCGTTGCTTAAAGTTGCAAGGCGACGCGAGGCAAGCGATGCGCTATGGGCGACATCAACTGCTCTAGATTCGGTCAATGACATGTCAAATAATCTCCACTCCTATACGAATTCAACAACAAGTGTAGAAAGGAAGTGAAAGTAGTATAATAAAGGGAAAAAAAAAAAAAAAAAAAAAAGATGAGTCAAAAAGTTGTGGAGGGGCACGTTATCGATCCCGCTGGTCTCGGATTTACCCACCTTCCCGAGCTGCCTCATAATCATCACTACTCCCTACGTCACATTTCTTTACCAACATACACATACCTACAGCATACCTACGACGTAGGTTTCTTTTACGATTTTATCAACTTCTCTCTTCTCCCCCTTCGCTCTTCCCTTTATTAAACCTTGAGTCTCCATCCATATCGCAATCCAAACACACAAAATCTCAAGGTATCACTAGTTTGAACCAAGACACCTTTCCGCATTTGGCGTTAAATTATCTTGTGCTCTTCTTTCATAAATTACCAGGATGGCGCTCCTTTCGGATATTATCTCGGCATCGGCGCATTTACACAACTCTAACCTACTACCCAGCGACGAGTATGACCGTCGGATCCGCGAGCTAGTTGAATACCTCAGGCGGCTACAATCCACCAAAGCTCTCGACTCACTTGCAAATGATAAGTCTGTTCTTGATGTAAGAACAATTATCTATATGAAGTCTTGTCTATGAAATTTGCTCCTAATATGCATTTGTCTTAGTGTTTTGACCCAGCGACGGATCCTATCCCATATCTTTTTGTGCTACGTGTGCAAATACAAAAAGCACAGGAACTCAATGCCGATGCATTTCCAGCTGATATCCAGCCCTCGGGAAATCTTTGGGGATATGCTGCACATTTTTTGACCAGTTTCGATGGGTTGCAAGTCAGATACGCTGGGCGAGAATGGCGCCTTCTTGTTGAACTCGTAGGGCAAGCCTCGCAGGCTGCATTAATGGCAAGTCAGCTATTTCCCACTTTCTTAGATCTCATTGTTAACTTAACCTGATACAGCCACTGCTAGGCGCCACGTTGGTTAAAGATGCTATGCTTCGTCTTGACCCATCATGTGGCGTTTTCACCTCGAGCCACCTTTTGCTTGTCCGGCTTTGTCTCCAAGCTAAAGCATATTCTTGTGCATTGCCTGTCTTGGATAAGCAGATTTGTCATTTCCCAATTTCGCTAGGGCGTTCGTCTTCAGAGCCCACTGTTCTCTGTGCGGATCACGGGTCAAGTGTATCCTTTATGACTGAAGCTGCCGGGGTTTCATCTAAGCTGTCATATCGAGAATACTTGCAGTACTTTCTTTATGGTAGTATGGTATACATGGCCTTGAAAAAGTGGCGCAATGCACTTCATTTCCTTGGGATTGTCATCTCCACTCCGAGTACTAGCTCTGTGAGTTTGATTATGGTTGAGGCCTACAAAAAATGGGTCCTAGTAGGCCTACTCGAAAAGGGCAAGGTAAGTTATCTCTTCGCTGACAGAAGAAGAAGAAGAAAGGGATCCCGACGGCTGTTCTTGGGCTAACTGTTTCTGTGGGCAGCTCTGTTCGCCTCCAAGCATAACTGCACCTCATGTGGTGAAAGTGTATCAATCACTCACAAGGCCCTATATTATTCTTGCTCATGCATTTGAACGTGGTGATTTGAAGAAACTTAATGCTGAAATCGATGCTGCCAAGGAAGTCTGGTGCACGGTAGGTGACGGCTCCAATTCGCTCTGTACGTTGCATCATTTTGACATTCAGAGCTAATGCCACCGATTTAGGACAATAATTTTGGTCTTGTTTCCCAGGTAGTCGGTGCTTTCTTCAGTCAAACTGTTATTAAGCTTGGGAAGACTTTTGCAGCTTTAACAGTGGCCGACCTGTCAAAGCAGGTGTTTCCCTCCCCTGTGTGTGCAGAAGGCACTAGATCCGCTATTTCATCCCTCATCATGTCTCGCGCTTTGAACGCAACATTGGTGCAGACCAAAGATTGTGCTGAGTCTTCTATGTTACGGTTCTCGTCCATTCATTCGTTGCCTCGACTCTCTCGTGAGTTGGACTTACAGTCCCAACTTAAGCAAGAGATGAGGCTACTGGAGACCCTGGTGATTAATCTTGGGGAGACCAATAATAATCTGGGGTTGAGCGAAGAGTACGTTCATAGCCTGAATAAGGGGCAAGTTTTGTCCGGTTCCAGTGAGGTCATTCCTATTGTAGAGGGTGAGGCAGGGCATGAGATGGATGAAGATCTGATGGGTGACATGTCCTGAGCTCGTCTTCGTGGTATCAAGGAACAATAAGACTAAATAATCTTGCTTCTTAATACATTGCTTACGGTACTAGTCACTTACAATAAATAGACCTTGCCAACTCCCATAGGAGTGGTCCCATAGGACTATCCCATAGGACCATATGGGACTCCTATCAAGTCCTATAGGAGTGCCAAGAATAGGACTAAGGGGTCTAGTCCGCTCCTATAGGACTTTAATGGGACTCCTATAGGACTATAAATAGTTTAAATATATAGAAAAACGTGACCTATATAACTTATATAGAATACCACTATTTTTTTAGGTATTTCAATTACTTAAAGAATTAAGATAATTGTCACGATCTGAGAGTATGGCGGGCAGGATTCTGCCATTAGATCCCGACTTCGGTTAGGGTTCTAAGTTCAGAGGGAAGGAGTTAGGTGTTTGCATGGTTTATTGTTATTGTTTACTAGAGACCTATAAAGGCTTTGTAGACTTAATTCTTTCTTTCCTCTTTCTTTCCTTCCTTCTCTATACTTAGTATTTTCGTTAGAATATACTCTTTACCTTAAAGAACTAGCTAGTAATATAATACTAAGTACTGCTTTTAATTCTACTAGTAGTAAGGTTATATAGACTATCTTTATAATTAGTCCTAGCCTTACTTTACCCTACTTCCTATTCCTTAGTATTATATAAGCTAAGACTTAACCTAAACTAAATCGAATCTAGCTTAACTAATTAGAATAATTAAGATTTAATAAAACTTAATAAACTATAATAAGTAGCTAGTTATTACTATATCTAATAATAATAAAGAAGCCCCTAAATATAAGACCTATACTCTAGACTTAAAGACTTTAATAAGATTAGTAAAAACCAATAAAAATAATAATAAGAATAATATTAAAGAGGAATTATCCTTCTTATATAAATAGTTAATAAAAACCTCTAGGCCTTGACAAATCACGCGGTACCAGTACCGCGGTACCAGTAACGTGCCGTGACTAAGGGTTCACTCCG